ATACAACACCTCAGCCTTCTTCTTCTCCATCCTTTTATATCTCCCACTGTTAGAACACTGGCTCCCCCAAAACTTCAATATATTTATTCTTTTGCCCAATCCTATAATACACACAGTTACAGAATTGTTGTGCCAGTAACTATTACCAACAACAAGCTTACTAAATCCAGTTCATAATACCTTTGCAGTTTTTAAAACTAATAGTGCTTTATTTCTTTTATTAAAAAATCTTAAATGTGACAAAATGTTCATATTTGTCAATTATGTATGATAATTTCATGACTGTTAGTCATATTGTTCATTCTCTTCTTTTTAAAACTTTTTATGGAAGTATAATATGCATACAGAAAAGTACACTTATAAGTGGGCAGCTAAATGAATTTTTACTAATTGACTTATGTGTATCTGTGGGTAGGGGGGGTTCTCTTGGTAGATATAGAGAAATAGAAGTATTGGGTTCTAGCTTGAGTGCATTTTAAGACATATTCCTAAATAGTACTTCAAAGTGCCTGTGCCAGTTTATTCTCCCACCAGCATTATGTGAGGATACCTGTTTGCCTACAGGCACGACAAAACTCAATATCAAACAGCTTTATTTTTTGTCAATCTAATGGATGAAATATTAGTATCCCATTGCATTTCTCTTAGAAGAAATTTTTTATTCAGTTATTAGCTATTTCCCTGTTTTTTCTATTAGACTGTTAGTCTCTTTTTGTTTCTCATATTTTAACTTGTTTTATAGTTTCATTTTAATATTATCTAAGTAAACATTGTGATGTTTGTTATGAGGTAAGGCTGTAACTTTAAGTAGTAAGACTTTGTTTCAGTATCATTTGCTTATTTATATAAAAATACCCTTATTGGGTCTTCTCTATTACAAAAGTGAATATCCAAAAAAATTTGGAAAATCCAGATACTCAGGAAGAAGAAAATAAAAATTGTTTCTAATACCATCACCTAGTTACAATACTGCTAATATTTTAATATGTATTCTTCTAATATTTTTTTTTTTTTTTTTTTTTTTTTTTGCTTCTTACATCATTTGTTGAATTACCTTTCCCTTTCCTATGGGTTTGTGAATTTACTGTTTACATATACCAATTTTTAAAAAGTTGGGATCTGTTTTTGAGCTATTCTTACTGCTTTATTTGTCCGCATACTGTGCCTGTATCATTTAAATTGTTGAGGCTTTATGATACATTCTACTCTCTGTAGAGCCAGCTTCCCCTCATAGCTTTTCTAGAGTCTAGATTGGGTAATCATGAGTCTGTGTTACTTTGAGTTGTGACTAGGGGTTCTGTTAAATTTAAAATGCATAAAACAAAAAGGCCTCTTCACATCATTTTTCCTATAACAAATCAAATCAGATTTACAGACATTCTCCTGTAAATTCTGGAGAAAGGAAGGTCCTGAAATTATTAGTGAGCAAGTCTGGGAAATAAAAACTGATTGTCCAATTCCCATTTTTACCTATTTAACGTGTGTAAAATGTTATTCATGTCTTTTCTTCATTCCTTTCTTCTTTCCTTCCTTTTGGAAAGCTTTCATAGGTTCAATCGAGAGTTTTAACCCCTAACTCGTTTTTCTCATATGGCCCTAAATTCCTCAACCCCACCATCTCCCACCTTAGGAACTTTCAGGATCACAACCCTTGATGTTGAAGAGTGAGATACTGCATGTAAGATGGGTGCAAACCCTTACAATTTCCACCTCCAGTTCTGGCAGGTGAGGAAATTGGGCATTTCAATACTGCAAGTGATCCTCCATACCCTAAACTCATTGTCTTCACTCAGTTCCCTCAGTGTTTCTTTCCACCAGAGTCAGTGGGGTGCTGGTGTGGGCATGTACTGGCTCATGAGAGCTGACTGTTAAATTTTCAGGAATTTTGCAAGCAGATCATTAAGCACAGTCATGATTAAAATTAAATTATATAAACTTACAATTAAATAAATTATGTCAAAAACAAAGGTAATAAATACTCAAAATGCATTGTTTCCTAATTATTACTACATTTTACTATTATTCATGCTCTTGAGGTTATTTGCACCTATCGTATATGTAGGGTGGAAATACTGTATGATGGTGTCCTATTGTGCATCTTTTCTCCACTCCGTGTTCTCTTGGTAGCTTGAAATTGGTTATGCTGGCAGTATTCACAGCACTGAAATTGGAAAAAACTACATATCAGAGTTTGAGTTATTATTTTGTTGAGTGTGATGGAGAAAATATTAACGATGCAGATTAAACTTAAAAGTGTGTCATGTCTATAGCCCTTGCTTTGTAAATAATTCCCCAAATCAAGGAAATATTCCTCCAGTATTTGAAAACTATTATTTGCTTCAGCAAAGAAGTTGCTTATATAGTTGACTAACAAATGACATTCCCCTGTATATCTTTGTTATTTAACTTTCCTCTTACTGTTAACATAAATGAAAATATCAACCAATATTAATGCCAAAACTATACTTACTCATCAATTGCAATCCTAGGTTGCTTTTGGATACAAGAGTTTGGCAAAAATCAATTAAAGCATTCTTTGAGAATTAATTGTGCACGTAGAGTTTATAATAAAGGGTAATATATATTTTATTATCATTTGTAGGTTGTGTGCTACACACCCTTCATATTAGTAAAATTTATAAAGAACTATGTACATATATATCTGCATACTTTTTTGGAGAGCTGGTGGTTAACAGCACACTGCTGGACAGAGGTGACAAACTGTTAGCCCCAGGCCAGATGGGAACCACTGTCATAGTTTGTTTGCCCCACATGATGATATTTAAAACAAACAAAAAAGCTAACTGGCATGCCAGCATTTACAAATTGTGAGAATTCAGATGAAAACCTGGAATTCCTAATTCTCTTGAAGGATCAGATCTAGCTCCATTGTATTCTTCCCTGGCAACACTCAGCTGGAGCTGAGCCACACTGGACCTTCAGATGAGGCATGCACCCTCACTTTACCATCATCCCCACCACTACCTGTTGTCCCCCAAACCTGCAGCTGAGTGTCAAATGCCTTTTATCCCCATATCTGAGCTGTGGATTTTCTCTGCTCCTTATTTATCCCACAACTGCACAACTGGACCCACATTTTCAGTCCAGAAATCTGGAAATCTCAGGCTTGATTTATAACTAAATTAGCTTTTCTCTTTTATTGTTTTAAGTCACATTGCCCCACAATGATTTCTCAGAAGTGTGACTTAAAACATATGTGGAAGGGCTTTAAAACTATTAAAAGCTACCAACTGGAAGGTATTTATAGGATGCATACAATTTCTAGCACCATTTAATTTTATGCCTTATTAATAAAAATCCATTAAAATTCAATTTGTTACATTTTCAGTAACAAATGACATATATGTTTATCATTAATCTTTTCACTTATTTTTTTTGCCTTTCATTCTCCCTCTTTTTTCTCTCTCCTTTATCTTTTTCTATCACTTTAATATTACCTCTGAAGTTCAATGTCACTAGTGAGGTCATTACATTTTCCTATTAAAATTCATATTTTGGTCTTTCTTTTGGCCTAACTGAAGCCCTGACATTATGGACTCATTCTAATTACTCTGAATGGCCAAATCCCCCACCACTTAAGCAAATGTAGAAATCTCAGGTTATATCAATTACCCTATGTTAAGGGTTAGAGAAAAAAAATGTGACGAATGTGATCTAAAGTTATCAACCCCAGGACGTTGTTATTTTTATAATCAAACTATCTCTTATCATTATGGTATCATAAACGCAATAACATGTCAACTTCATTGCACTCTAAATTTAGACATTTGTACCAAATTGTCATGGATTCTTTACATTTCACTTTAATGGTAACTTGGGTCTCTATGAGGGAAAATTATTTTTGTACAATGATGAATCTATTTAATTTTTTTAAAAATATCTTTCCTTGGTTTCTTTTATCAACACATATAAGCCATTTTGTGTCAACCATGCCATATAAAGTGTCTTAACTTTCCAATCTTAGACTTCCAAATGAATTGAGCCCTAAAAGTTCTTGTTAGTAATATGGGCATTTGTACAAATAGGAATAATGCTATAAGTGAGTAGTAGAGTCCCAGGCTAGCCCCTAACATAGTTAAATGCAGTTCTAATGGTGTTCATCCACATTCTGATTTTCTGGAGCAAGAGGAGGAGGAGAGGGAAGAGGGAAATGACAGGAGAAATAAGGGAAGTGGTACAGCAGGGACAAGATAGAAGACATGAAAGAAAAGAGAAGGAAATGAAAGAGGAGGCAAAAGAGAAGCACTTTCTCTGGAGTTAGGTCTTGCTCTAAGCAAAATGTTGAGATACTGTATATGCAATTGCTTTTGTGTTCTCCAATTTTCATTTCTGCCTCATTCTCTTTGGACCCTGGTGCTATCATTTGGTCCTAAAGTCCCTCCCGATACACACCTTTTATACCTCCCCCCTCCAACAAACATTCTCAAAACTCCCATTTCTCAATGTGTCTCTCCTTAATGAGATATATGGAAAATATCAGTATAATGGAACCTAATCATTTTGTGGAATTCACAGTCCCCAAACCTCCGAAATCTATCATTCTCTACTTAGGGGAATTCCAGGTGATGTCACAAAATGAAGCGGAAAAAACTTAAGGCAATATTTTGAAAGAAGATTCCTTTCTTGGAGGGTCATCTCCTATGCTGAGCTCCACTACACAGTCCCTGATGTGCTTTGCTTTCTCCACTGCTGATGCGCCATTTCTCCACAGGCTCCCAGTGGCAAAGATTGAGCCTCTAGCTGGTTCTCAAGACATGTCTCTGGATGCAATCAAGTTGGCTTTTTGGTTTCTTTTTATTTTGTTTTTCCAAAACACTCCCACAGCTGGGTGTGGAATGGAGCAGAGAGAGCTGGTTATTTGTATGTGCGGCTCTGTTGTGAATGGGGCTTGGGGTGAAGGGTGCTATTGCAGTTATATCCTATACATATAGGGATACCTATCTCATGGCCTTATTCCCAGATTCCTTACTAAAAATAACCATTGTTTGCCAAAGTTTCCAGAGGCTGGACACAGTTACACTGTCAGTAAATGAATGTGACAACACAGCTTTTGCTGCTTGGCATTGGGAAGGTTTTAAAGTAAGAAAAGTCAGGAAAGTTGTTGGCAATGCTGGCAACGTTTTCAATACTATATGATTTTAAGGATGAGTCTCTATTGAATAGAGCCATATCTAAAAATGAGATATACATACATGTTTGCCAGCCTTCGTGTGACAACACAGGCTTCTCTTTGGAGTCGCCATCCCCACTGCTGTGGATGAGTAAGCTCTGCTCTTGGAAGGGATGCTTGGCTTCGGTGTTGATGCGAAGCCTCTTCAGACCGCAAATAGCCAGGTAGTCAGTGGGGAGAGTGTTCGTACTGCAGAGGGAAAGCTTCAAGTCATGGACCAACGTGAAGTTCAACAGGCGGCCCAGCGCAGATGTGTCTGTGAACCAGATGGTCAGAAGGCCATTGTAGCTTGTTCGCTCTACTGCAAAAGGCAGGACAGTTTTACAGCTGCACATCAGGTTAGCCAAACTGTAGTCACAGTCCCGGATGTCTGCAGAGCAGCTGCAGTTCCGAATGGTGTTTTCCTTTGTGAAAATTAGCGTGTTGTTCTCCTGACCTTTCGTGAAGCGGTCCAATGCAAAGACCCCCAGTGTGCCGATCAGGAGGAGGCAGTGCCTGGAAGGTGGTGCCATGCTTGTCCTGTGTGGGCCAGCGTGTTCCCGTCTCACCTTCATGAGCTAATTCACTGGCACTCACCTGGAAGAAAACATGCAGCTTTGTTATCACAGCCTATCATTAGAAATACACAGCGTGTGGAAAAAGAACCCCCTAAATAACAAATGGTAAACTTTTCTCTCTTGCAATTCTTATAAAGGCAGGCAATGCTTGAACACAAGCACCAGGAATGCTCTTTTCTCAGAACCTCACGAGAGGCAGCAGCCAAGCCTCTGAACTCTGCTCACCAGAGGCATAAAACTCCAAGTGATGTCTACTGACAGCGAGACTAATGAGCCAACAGAAGAGCCAGAGTGGGTGTCAGAGAGGAGACCTACCGCATCCTCTCTACGGGCGGAGACTTGGAGTTACGTGAGTGAGTAAATCCTCCACACATCCAATGACTAACATTTAGTACCTGTACACCCCTAAACATGCATTCCTCCTCCCTCCCCAATATCTGACTTCCTGGAATTCAGGAGACAAACTGTTCCTTGTTGGATTCAGCAACCCAAGCACTTCCTATTAAGCAACATAGCATAAATACCAATGAAGCATGTAGTTAATGGTAAACTTTAATTCCTAACTACACAAATATGCTTCTCTCAACCCAACCATATTTATCTGTTTATAGGTCCATTCACCATTTTCCTGGCCTCCTGGAATGTATGTGCATATCAGAGTAAATTGTAACTGTGTTAGTAGACAAAGAAAAGACTAATTGCCCACCAATTACAATGATCTTGATTTATCTACTGCTATTCCAGAATACATTTTATGAATTGATTTCTGTCAAACAATTTATTGTCGGGCCAAAACTAAGCAATATATAAGCATTGCTAAATGATCTGAATAAGTTAGGAAGGCATTTATTTATTTATTTATTTATAAAGAAAATGAAATTTTATTATTATTTTTTACATTCTAGGCTGTTGTGGAGCAGTTGGGAGGGAGGAGAAGAGGGGAAAGGAGAAGGAAATGGGATGGAAGGAGGAAGGAGGAGGGGCAGGATTGAGGCCCGTGGCACCCCCCTCATTCCCATAGGGGAGACTAGGGGGCTTCCAGAGGTGGCTTGGTCATTGCTGGGCTGGACGATGTCAGGGGGGTGTGGAAAAGCCCTCGCCCCACACTGTCCCAGCTCAGGAACCTGGGACCCTTCTTGCTGCAGCTTGGTGGTCATTGCTGGGCTGGTTGCACGATAGATGGAAGGGTCAGTCTGAGAGTTAAACATGTGTCCTAAGAGTATGGTAACAGCAGGAGAGAGGCTAGGCAGACATGCAACGCTCAGGGTGCAAGATGAGGCCAGCCTCATCTTGATGGCAAAGCAAGGCAATGAGAATCCAAAGGAGGCAAAGCTAAAAGTGACGGGGACCAGGTAGACAGGCAAACAGCACAAATCCATCAGTAGGTGGCTGAAGTGCAGCGAGGATAAAAATAAGCTCAGCTGAGTCAACTTGAACAGAAGGTGAGATATTATTGGTTCACAGCAATTGTAACTGTATTCCTTTATTCATTCATTCAACAAATGCTTATGGAGAGTTTACTCAGTGGCAGGAACTTTGCTAGCCCCAGAGATCCAGCCCCAGAACAAGACAATCCAGGGCCTAGCTGTCATGGAGCTAATGTTCTAATGAACTTGATTCTGCTTCCAATTGGCTGTGGTGTCAGAGCCCAAGGCCAGCCCAGGCCTGCCTTTGAGGACCAAGAGACTGCAGTAGTGGGGAAGGGGAGAAAGCAAGGTCAGGATCCAGTTGGGGCCACGTGCCAGCACGGGCCATGCGCCAGCTCTGGCCTAGGCCAAGTAGAAGAAACAAAGATAATCAAGGCATGGATCCTGCCCTGCAGGGGTGCATACTCAAAGGAAGAAGACAAATACGGCTGGACTGAGAAGGCTATACTGAACATACAGACAGTTATAAGAACATAGCAGAGAGATAGAATAAATTCCATTTGGGGGACTGGATAGGCGGCTTATAGTACTTTGTGTTTATCTGAAGTTGGCACATGATTTTCTTAAAGGATTTATTAGTAGGTACATTTTGTAACAAAATAAAGAGCATTGAAAAACTCAAGAAAGCCAGAATTCTCTGTGAACAAGAGGCTAAACAGTTTTAACTAGTGCTAGAATGTGGTGGTGATTACCCCCCTTAGTAAAGAAGAGTGAAAGATGCATTCATTACAAGATAATTTTAGATGAATGGCTGTCCCAGATTCCACCAGAGTTTCTGGGACTTCATGTCCCCATAACCCTGTCATCTCAGAACTAGGAATACTGTTAATACCATTGGCCCACTCTGACCCCAGGCTTAAAGGGAAAGGGAGGGAAGAGCATCTATACAGAACCAGGTGAGAGATTCTTTCAGGAGCTGATACTGTTCAGAGGCGTGTATGGAAGAGGAAAAAGGCGGGAAGAGAAAAGGACATTGCTTTGCTGGAACATGTGGGACTGGCAGTTTCCAAAAGGATTTGTGAGCAACTATGCAACAGTCAAGGTCCCGGTTGGACTTCAGCGTGGTCCCTGCCTCCTGGACATCAGGGAGCCCAAAGGCCAGAACAAGGAGACCAGATGCAGGAAGGGTCACTGAGAGTGTACACAGTGGGGCAAACATCCCTGGTAGCCAGTTTATGGAGGGGGGACCACAAAGATGACAGTTGAACATTTTTATTCTTCATTTTACCATGAATTTCTTTCTGTAGGTTTGTTGAATATAGATTTTGAATACCCTTGTTTCTCCACGTATTTATTCATTTGTGGGCACATTCCAGCATGGCATAAGCAGATGGGGACAAATACATTACATAGTCCCTGCCCCTTTGCTATGGCTCTGGCCACAGTGGGGGTGGAGCAGGCTCATATTAGGGGATAGCGGACAAGTCTCAGTGATGAAGCACACAGAAAGGGGGGAGACTGAAAAAATGATGTGTCAAGCCAACAGGATCCCTTGACTCCCCTCTTCCCACTGACACCCCGGCAACCCCCATGGCCCGTCAATCTTCTCTGCCCTACATTTTTAAATGTTTCAAACTCTTGTCATCCTATGCTAATTATTTAGGTAATTTCCCTTTTCTTTTTCCCACTCAAGAAGTATTTCCCCACTCAGGTATTACCTCCTCTGTAAGCATCATGACTTCTCCCACCCGCACACATAGTTAGGGCATAGTTAGGTGCAGACTTTACACCCCATACAAATTGTTATCATAGTGACTGTCACACTATTTTGTGAGTATTGGTTCAAGTGTCTCTTCCACTAGGGCAGAACCCCTTAAGGGAGTTCTTTTTTGGCTTTATCTTCTCAGTTTCCAGCACAGTGCCTATAGCAAGGCACAGTGCATGTACCAAGGACTCAACAAATTTTATTGAATAAATGAAAAAACACAGTTCACCAAATGTTTATTTACTAAAATTCTTTTAACTGCTAGTTAGAGAAATCCAATTCAGACTGGCTTGAGTAAAAAAAAAAAAAAAAAAAAGGCTCACATGTTTAAAAAATCAAGAAAGGATTTCAGGCATGGCTTGATCCAACTATTAAAAAAAGAGATTGTCAGGAATCTCTTCATTTCTTAGTTCTTCTTTCCCCAGTCTGTGTGGGCTTCATTCTCAGACAAGCTCACACCTTCTGGGGACAAGATGGTCACTACTAGATCCAGGTTTACCTTTTACCACTGATTAATTCCCAGAGGACCAAAGTCTCTCTTTCCCAATAGTATCAGTCAAAAATGCATTGACTTCTCTAAGTAACATGCTCAGCCCTGGAGCTGATGTATAGGATCAGCCACACTGGTAACAATGCACTGAGAGGACAGAACTGGTTCTACAAAGGAAAATCAGAGAACAATACCAGAAAAAGGCAAGGTAGGCAGTCAGAACAGTGGGTGCCCACAAGACCATGTGTGAGCATGGCCACCGATTCCTTTTGGTCTCAATAAACACTGGAGACCACTTTGATAAAATACACTCCAGGAGTGCAGATATGTGCCTCACTTTGTGGGATACACCCAGGATTCCAAATTGTCTCCTTTACTGGGAAACCCCTTATTTTCACCTCCTCAGAATCTTCAAGCATTTTTACAGGGACACAGTTTGAGCATTTGTGAGAGACATCCTTGCCTATCTCCCCAAGTCCTGGCTTTGAAGTGTGTTCCTTGGCATGCTCAGACCCTGGCTTTCTTCTGCCTTTAACCCCAGGGCCATAGCTCAGATTTATATTTGAGATTATCTGTTTCTTGCTGGAGCATCTCATCAGTTTCTGGCTCTTTTATTATCCCAGTTTCTTGAGTTTTTTCCAATTGCCTTTTCACTTTCAAAATAAAAACCACTTCTGATTTTTAATTAAACTCACTTCTGAATTAAATTTTTAAATTGCTGTAAAGATTTGGAGAATGTCACTAGATTTTTCTGCAATTATTTTTTGTCTTTTGTGTTAAGAGTATAGAATTGAAAAAATCATTATTCATGACATTTTAAATCTGTTTTGGGCAAGTGGGCCAAATGCTATCCTCCCACTGACACAATATCTCCTTACTAGTAATATCTTCTTATAAACAGAACTAGTCCAGTTTGAAACATTCCTTTTGGAGCCAAGTATAAACATTATCTAAATGTTGGGTGTAATCCTAGATTGAGAAGGAATCTGTGTGGAATTTGTTTTGAAGTAACTAATGCCTGTATCTGCTCAATTCAGAAGTCTTTGCCTTCATGCAGTTAGTTGCTAGTATTAATTTCAATCAAGATTTCTTCAGCTTCAACATAAAAATAACATTTTAACTTATTCTGAATAGTAGCTCTGGTTTTCAGACATGTTCAGTGATTTAAAGACTCAGACATTTAACTATCATACACAGTTATCAGCAGCTTGCCTGAAAAATTTAGATGCATTGACACCACCTGAGTTGATGTCATGGTTGCATAAAGCCACTTATTATGCCTTACAAGCCAGGTATATCATAGGTTTCTAGTGCCCACCAACACCCACATTTCTCCTTTTTTTCCCTTGGCACACTGCTGGACTTCATTTCCAAGCTTCTTGTGGTGAAGTGGTGCC